GATAAGCACTTGTTAAATAGTTTTGAAAGGATAGACAACAGCTCCGGAGAATACTTCTGCAAGACTATAACGGGTGTGTTGTCTGGGCCACAAGCTGTAGAAGAGTCTAAGCAGGAAATCACTATAGATACAGAAGCTGGAGTGATACGGATGTCGAGCAATGGATCAACCTGTTTGACGGCTATATCAGGTAGAACGCAACTAGTGGAATCAAGAGATGATATTGATGAAAAGTTCTTGGCAAACAATTCAGCTTTGTCTTTAGGTGAGGTGACAAAGTCTGAACCATACAAAAGAGGTGGAATTACAGACTTGCCCTTATTATTGATACTATTAAAGATTCTCCAGAAGTCGCGAGAGCCTAATTTTTGTGATGAAATACGAGATTTCATGATCTGAGAATAGCGGGCTTTGGCGTTAGACAAAACCTTTTTACAATGGTTCCTAGCAGTAATAAACAGACGTCTGTTCTCTGGAGAATTGTTTTGCTGATAGATATGGAAGTAATGGTTTCGATTGACAATTGCAGCAGCACAATGTGAGGAAAACCATGGAGAAGAGTGAGGCTTGACCTGGAATCTTTGATAGAGAATAAAGGATTCAATGCCAGCCTGAATCCATGAAGTTATGTAAAAAGCACATTTGTCAACAGGAAGACGAAAGATTTCTACCCAGGGGCCATCAGGAAAAAAATCACGGAAAGAGTCTCAGTCAGCTTTAAGGTAGTTGTAAGATGTACGATGATAGGGGGATTCTGATGGTAAAGAAGAATGATATAATAGTATTAGAGAGACCAAACCATGATCAGAAGCACCTAAGGGTGAGTGTGGAGAAACTGAGCACTGACTAGGATCAGAAACAAGACAAGTCGAGTAGAGAAGGTAAATGATTCGGGTTATCTGGAAAGCGAGTTGGAAAGTTGACTATTTGAGTTAGGGATTGAGAAAGGCAAAAGTTGTGGGCCTTAATGCCTGCAGAGTCACTGACACTAGAGCCAAGCCATTCAGTGTGATGAACATTAAAGTCACCGACAACAATAATATTGGCTGCTGGATAAAGAATGAGGGCTTGGTCAATATAATCAGAAATAACATCAAGAAGAGTGCAATCTTGAGATAAAGGAGAGCGATATAGAACAAAGAGTGACAAAGGTGATAGAGTGAAATAGTTCTAATCGAAAGCACATAAAAGAGTAGTCTGTGGATTCGAACCTAGTTTCCCAACAAATGGGTGAATTCTTATGAATGTAAATGCCCAGGCCAAGCATGTGACTATTGGAGTCTTTATGAATTAAAGGAAGATAACCATCAACACTAAGATCACAAGATGAGACAGAAGAACTCAAATTAGTCTCACAAAGAGCAAGTAGGTCTGGTGAACTTTGCAAGAGATAAGACTCAACAGAAGAAAAGTTACTTCGAAGACCACGAATATTGGTGAGTGATAGATTTAGCGAACTTGATGATGACTGTGCTTTTTTGTGTTTTATAGTTTTTGTTACTTTATTCATTTTTAAATTTGTTAAAGAACTTGACTCAAAACATAGATAGTACTCAGTACACTGTTTTATAGCTCAAGCAGTTGCCTCATTTCCACTAATAAACCCTAAGCCGTAACAAAGGGCTCCAATGTGGCTTTGGCAGTGCACACCATAAGTACAAACAGGGACACCATCCATGCGCAACATGGCACTGTTAATACTCTGATATTTTTCAGCAGTTGATGGAATCAGCCTCTCTGAGAGCTACCACAGAGTTCGGGCAACCTGACTACCAGCCGGCCTCAGAACCATAAAACTTAGAGTTTTAGAGCTGTACCCTCATTTGGAGTTAATAGAATGAGTTGCCTAGTCATAAAAACAGAGACACAAGCAACACCCATGCATCGAGTCAAGAAGATCCAGCGTTCATTATCCTAAACTGGAAACAATGTATTAAAAATGCATCTGCGCCAGCCTAATAGATGAAGAAGGGGTGTGAAGCTGGTCAACAGATAGAATCTGTTTACCCCTTAGATTTGCTTGGAAGATTTGCTTGATTGTTTGGAAGGGGCATTTGAGCTTCTACTATAGCATAGGGCTCTTAGTTGTTTTTATACCATTTAAGCCTTTCAGTGTGTTTTCTAAATAAGGTGCACACATACATATATACATAGTTTTTAAGCTTCAATTAGCTCATGCCGTCTATACATTTTTTACATAGCCTCAATTGTTTCATATTACTTTTCTATTCCTGTACATTTTTTATCCCCTATCTTTTAACAATTTGTAATTTTAAATACCTATTGCTTTTTGACATTCGGCTCTCTGTGTTTAGTTTACCCACCCCCTCCCTATTGGTCTACTATGTTATTGGTGAACAATTCTTATTGATAATTGTTATTAATGGTTATGCAATTGATAATAAAAATTGTTAATAATTGTTTACCTATTTTTGCCAATAACATAGTAGACCAAAAGAGAAGGAGTGGTTTAAAAAAAAAATTTTTGGGAAGAGAAGATTCCAATTTTCTGTTCTGATAACTTCCAACTCTAGTAGTGTTGATTGCAGCCTTGTTGAAAGTGAAAATATAAAAAAAATTTCCTCCTCTTGTTTTGATAATCTAAATATTTTTAACTAAAAAACTTTATTATATTATGGTTTTTAAAATTTTTGTTGTTGTAAAAACATACCTAAGTGTTTTGAAGTTCAAGTATCAAGTTTTATTTTTATAAACATTAATATAAACTTACATGTTTAAACTAAAAAAAAAGCCATACTAGTTATTTATGAAAAACGATAGTGTGTTTTATTTTTTATTTTGCGAATTTTTTTTTTCTGCGCTTAAGAATAATATTTCTTATGAGCCTACAAACATATGACCTTAAGTGAGCCTACAAACATATGACCTTAAATGAGCCTACAAACATCTGTCTCTTATTGAGTTAGTGAACAAATTTTTTTTTTTTTGTTTAAAGATTTGTAATCTTTGGTTTACTTACATTTAACACATAAGTCAAAAAGTCTGAGGCCTAATCAAAAATTTATGTAAAGAATTTGTTACAGTACCATCAGCATTGATGAAAAAACTGTGAAGTATATTTATATATATATAATGTATAAAGTATATAATGATTGACCTTGATGTTGAAATTCTACATTTTTGTAAATTATTTTTATTGCAATTAGTATCTTTTATAGGTTTTTTGTTGTAAGTTATGGTTACATTATTTGAAGTAATTTTTCACTTTATTTTAATTTTCACTGCCCCTAGGCTGAGAAGGCCACTACAGTCATGCTACTTTTTTGTGGTTTCGACCCTCTCTAAACTCTTTAGCTCTGAAACACAAACTTTGACAAACAAGCCAGCTGCACATAGAAACAAGCTGCAACGCCTAAATATCTTTTATTTTGTGATTTTCAAGATTTAACAATAAGCTGATTATATTTCTTTGAAAAATTATTGAACAAAACTTTTTTAAAAATTTGAACAAAACTTTTTTATCTCAGAATCCCTTTAAAAAATAAATTTGGGAATTAATTTTAAAACTTTCTTGTAATTTTTTATAATTTTTAAGTGTAAGTTGTTTAAATTTGTCCTTTAATTTTTGTGCTTGTTTATGAAATTATTTTGTGCTGAAAAAATCGATTGTATCAAATATTCTTTGATTGTGCTGATAAAATTAATTTAAAAATTAGTTGTTTAGATGGAAATTACCAAAATTTATGGTTTTATAAAAGAAGGTTTTAAAATTACATCTCATGCTAAATAAAACTTTATGCACCCAAAAAATCAACCGTTTATTTATTAAATAGTTCTCATTTAGTATTTTGAATTAGAGTACTAAATTAATTATATCAGTAGATGTATCAATAAAATTAAGAAACAAATCAGCCAAAATTGGAATTTTAATTAAATTTTTTTTTTCATATATTTAAAGCTTTCTATTTGAATGATCTTTAACTTGCTTGCCCAGGTTTTTTCTTTGTATATAAGGCTAATGCTTATTTAGTAACATACAATTAACCTTTTAACAGTCCCGTGTATTTTTTAAAATACGGTCGCTTTTAGTCCAGCTTTTTTTTTCGAAGTAGTCTCAAATTGTCCTGTGTTTTTAAAATCATCCTATTTGTTTATAAGTAAAATATAAAAAGTTTTTCTACTGTTTTTAACATTATTAAACACTACAAACGTCATTATTCAAGTTTAAGAACATATAAATCATGCTACATAAAAACAAAATTATAAAAATGTATTTACTAATATTCACTTTTTGTATGAGAATTGGAAAAGCATGAAGCACATAGTCTTACTTTATATTCTAAACATTTATATCTTGAATCTTTTTGAATTATGTGTTTTTAACATACTCCACACCTTCTTTCAACATACTCCACACCTTCTTTTAACATACTCCACACCTTCTTTTAACATACTCCACACCTTCTTTTAACATACTCCACACCTTCTTTTAACATACTCCACACCTTCTTTTAACATACTCCACACCTTCTTTGAGTATTAATCTTTTATTATCATTTTTAATAATCATTCATCAAGTATTTTATTATTCAATAATCATTCATCAAGTATGTCTTTTTGTTATTGATTCACAAAATGTGTAATTTTCTACCTTTTAGTGAGTAACTATTTACATTTTGGTAATTATTTTTGCACTGAAAGAGCTTCCTTTGTTGTCATATTTAAAATTAAAGTAAACAAGTGTAAAAGTAAATTATTGAAACAAAAGCTCTTTAATTATGTTGTAATTAATTTTGTGACAAGTAGATGTATAATTACTGATGAACAAGAAGGAAATATAAGGAGATGCATAAAACCGTAATATTACGGCATGGACATTTAGAAACCTTTTTTTTTTTTGCGTAATATTACGGCATGGACTGTTATTGTGTTGATAATTAAATTAAATGCACTTTTTTCTAAAAAGTTTTCAGATAATCTAGTTTAAACTATTAAATATTAAATTTTTTAAAAAATGGTAATAAATTTAAATAATTTATGTTTAAAAGTTTTAGCATAATTTTTAAATATATTTTAAAAGTTTTTTAAAAAATTTTAGATAATTGTTTCACCGAGTGCAGAAGTATACTAAAATCCCATATTGGTAAACTCTCACATCGTTTTAACTCAAGGTTTTTAAAATCTGCTCTTGAATATATTTTATGTACAATAATTCAGCATCGCAGTTTGTACAAAATTGCATTTTACAAAGAACAAGATGTAGTAATCACTGAAAATCTAATGGTGAATATAGAGACAATAAATCAGTTAAAATCACTAGCTGATGCAAAAGAAATAAACATATGGGAAAAGGAACAAAAATTAAAAAATCTTGAGGAAAAATATTTAGTGAAAGGAGAAGTAAGAAATATTTATATCATAGAAATATTTATATCATAGAAGGCAAAATGCATTTACCTCATGGTTACATACCAGTATCTCATTTCTTCTAAAAATAATTACTAAGAAATAGCATAATAAATCGCATAATACATAATAAATAGTCATTTATTATGATGCATAAATTAATTTTTTATGATGCATAAATTAATTTATTATGATGCATAAATTAATTTATTAAGATACATAAATTAATTAATAAAATAAAGAAAAATATTTTTATATAGATTTTTTTTCTCAAAATGTAATAATCTAAAGTACTTTATTATTATCTTAGACTTTCAATATTTTGATTTAAGAACCAAATGTTGCATGACTGTTGTTGTAAATCTGTTGTATCAAAAATAATGATAACTGTTTTAGTTAACAAAATATTGAAAGTTATTATGACTACTGTAGAGGAAATAAAATTTTTGATTACATCAAGTCAAGCTGCATTGAATATTTAAAAACTAACTTAAAACAAAATCAAGCCTCAGTTCTCCTTGACTTTGAGAAAACTATAGTTTTTTAATAAAAGGTATAACTTTAGCTGAATAGTGGCCTGACGTTTCTTGCAAAAAATGTTTCTCAAAGTTGTTACAAATTATTAGATATTTTCCAAATTTAAAAAATACACCTTGTTGCTATGGTTTGCAAATGTTATCATCAATATGGATGGTTAAGCGTAAAACCAGCCTATTTAGCAAGCTTAAAAAAAAATGAGTTCATGTTAAAAAATGGTTTTTGTAATGTTTTTTACAAACAACAATATAAAATTTTTAGGTTAAACTTTGTTTAACCTAATATAAAATTTTTAGGTTAAAATTTGTAAGTGCACTGGTTGGTAATTGCTTTTATTTTGTTTGGTGTAGCTGCCTTTGTTAAACTCTTTTGAAAAGAAAACTTTCCATAAATCCATAAAGGTTAAGTCGATTCTCAGTTCAATAGCAAGAAATCCGAACTAGTCACAAGATCTAGCAAGAAAATTCTAGATTTTGCATTCTTATATCAAAAAAGTACTTAAAAATGCTAGAATTAAAGCTTTTCAAAAAAAAAAAAAAAAAATACACATAAGAGAAGCTTAAATGGTGAAATTAGAGGAATTCGACGCGCAAAGAAGTTGGTTAAAATAATAGCGTATAAAAGTATGTGCATAATTGAAGACAACGAAACATTGCAAGGCGGATTTTTCACAACTTCCTGATCTACATTTTTAATGTGAGAACAAAGATAAACCTGTCGATGGTCAATTTATATATATTTGACAGAGAAAATTTGTATACAAGTTTTTTGTGTGGCAAGCAATTTGTAGCTGTGGTTTGCAGTCCTCTTGTTTCGTCACTAAAAAGACCTTGACTGCTGATCTCTATATCAAGGAGTGCCTCAAAAAAAACTTTTGCCATTTTTAAAAAAACACATATACAATGTTTTTTTTTGGCCAGGTCTTCATCACGGTGGTGCAAAGATAAAAATGTGAAAATTGTTCCTAAAGATGCGAATCCTCCAAATGGTCCTGAAGAATGCAGGATTAAAGATTTTTGGGCAATAATTAAAGGAATTCTTTGTGAATCTTTTGGAGTAACAAAAAATAAAAAAGACTTCCAAAAAAAAGTAGATTAATGCCACCAATAAGGTGAAAAAAGAAAATATCTGCGAAATGATGGCATAAACCCGCTATAAAATTTGATCTCTAGCCAAACAGCCCATCAGCCCCTTTGAATTAAATTAAAACCCTAATTAATGTAAACATATTTAATATTAAAAAACTTGAAACAAAAAGCATTAATAGTTTTAGAGAAATCTCAATTTAAAGTTGACAGGATTTTTCCATGTCCACCCGATATATTAGAAAACATATTTTGTAAAATTTAAATAGTTTTAAAATTCTTGACCACTGTGCACCAGCCGTAAACCATCATTTTGAGGGGTTTAGAAACTTTATATATTTATAGGGTAAAAATTTCTCAAAAAACAAGGGGTTGCACCCTGCATCACCAAATTTGCTGAAATTTGCCACAAATGTTTAAAAATATAAGTTAAGAAAGACTAAAATTTTTTCAAAAAATTCTCAATTCTTTAAGATTTACAGCAACTTGAAGTTAGTTATTTTTGGACTGAAAAAAGAGGGGGGATAAAGCCGGAAACATGTCAATTTACCATTACCCTTTTAACAAACTTGTAGTAATGTTGCGAAGCTAAAACTTGGTACCAAAGGAGTTTAAAACCTGCTGAATCTGAAAATCATAAACTTATATCTCTCAAAACAATAAAAGTTAATGATAATAAAAAAGGCTATTGACAACTATAGTTCTAGAAAAAATCTGACTGATGAAAAAAAGTTTTGGTTTTTGTTATTTTAAATATTAAACATATATCTACTTTGCGAACCAATTTTTATTTGGCCTTATGTTTTATCAAGGAGTTATTGATGTTTTAGTTTTTCAATTTTTCTAAAGATATTTTGCAAAAAAAAAAAAAAAATTTGCAAATATATTTTGAATACAAATACAATTATTTTTGTTTTGTAATAGCTTTGTAAAAAATTTACTAAGTTATTACAAAACATAGTTGAACATTTTATAAATTTGTTTCTTTTTATTTTTATTACATAATAATGTCATTTTCATTACATAATATCATGTCATTAAATTTAACAATATTATGTAACTTTTGTTGTTGATTGTTTTGTTGTAATAAAACATTTATTATTATCAATAAAAAAAGTAATAAAATGATATAATAATGTCTAATTAACATTACCAAGTTAAGTTACATAACTAAATAAAATTATATTTAGTTATCTTTTTCTTTTACACAACTTTTTGTAAGTAGTTAATGGAGAATTTACAATAATTAGTAGATAGTTAGGCATTTAAAATATGTCTATTAAACTAATAGCTACTTGTTCAAGCAATATGTTCTTTATAAATACATATTGATATGATATTGTTTGTGTTCAAGTGTTCTTTTTTTGTTAGGGACATTAAGATTATTTAAGATTTCTTGTATTAAGTGTTTAGACAGAGATTCCTCATTATATTTTTATATGGATAACAAAATTAATTGGTGCTTTGTAAATAATTATGGAGCTTGTTATAAACAATCATATACTCAAGAAAGAAATCTGATTGAAGATATTGACAGTAATGATTGTAAGCTACTTGAAAAACAAACAAATCTGAAACAAGAACAAATTACTAATATATGCACACACCATCATGATATGTTAGTTGTAAGATATGAGGGTAATCAGAAAAGTTACTGTAATCCATTTCTGAGTCACCAAAAGGTGTGTAGAGGTAAAAATTTATATATTTATATTTCATTAGGTAATATCATTATTAATAAGTCATATAAGTTTTTTTTGTAATAAGATTTGTTCAATGTTTCATAGTTATTAATATAACAAATGGTATAGTAATATAATTACATAATATATATAATTAATGTTATCTAAGTAATGTAATTACTTTCTTTTTAAGCATCTCTACATGTGATTACAATGTATACTGTGTTAGAAGCAGAAACCATAGGTTTAAATCTTATACCTGGAAAAATACTTTTTTCTTATGTTAACTTACGTGCAATTCAAACTATATAGTTTGAATTGCACGTAAGTTAACATAAGAAAAAAGTATTTTAACCATGCCTAATCCTAAATTAGGAAAAGCTCTTCCTGATGTAATAGTTCAACTGGTCAAGACCTTTTAAGAAGACAGTGAACATAGCCTATAATGCCTGGTAAAAAGGACTATGTAAGCATAAAGAAAAATGTCCACATGCAAAAACGTTTGCTCTTATGTAATTTAAAGGAATTGTTTGTTGCCTTTAAAACCAAGAAACCAGAAACAAAAATAGGATTTTCAAGGTTTTGCACCTTGCGACCTAAATGGTGTATTACTGTTGGTGCCTCAGGAACACATTCTGTATGCCAGACGCATACAGAATGCTATTCAGCAGAATTTGAAACTGCTTTTACATCCTCTTGGTGTGACATACAAAGAATTGTTACCTTATATTGTCTGTGATATAGCTAATAAAGACTGTATGATAAGGAAATGTGAAAAATGCCCAGCAACTATGAATGCATTGGTTGAAAAACTTTATGATATACTTGGAGAATTTGAAGATGATGATGAGATTCAATTTGATCAATGGACAACAACAGATAGATCAAACTTGACACATAATAAAGAGCCAGTGTTTGAATACATTGAACTAGTATGTAGAAAACTGGAAAAACTTGCACCACATTCGTATTTAGCAAAGATACCTAGCATTATACCTGAGATCAAGAAAGGAAGATATGAATGAGGTAACAGCATTATTTCTGGGTGATTTTTCAGAAAACTATAAATTTGTAGTTCAGGATGAAGTGCAAAGCTTTCATTGGACAAATTTACAATGTACACTTCATCCAGTGATTATTTATTTCAAAAAAGAAACCATTCTCAAACACAAATCCTTGTATTTTTTCAGATGATATGATCCATGATGCGAACATGGTTTATAAAATTATTGAGGTTGTTTGCAATGATATAAAAATAAATTTGCCTCAAATAAAAAATATTGAATACTTTTCAGATGGGTGTGCAGGTCAATATAAGAATTGCAAAAATATGTTAAATCTTTGTTTCCATTGTGAAGATTTTGGTTTTACTGCTAAATGGAACTTTTTTGCAACTAGTCACGGTAAGCAACCTTGTGATGGGATAGGTGGTACAGTCATATGTCTGGCAACACTAGCAAGTTTGCAAAGAGATATGGATAATCATATTTTATTTCCACAAACAATGTATAAATATTGCAATGAAAACATTGAAGGCATAAATTTCATATATATTTCATCAGAAGATTTAACTTTGGTGAGAACCGCTCTTAAAGAACGATTGGATACTGCTAGTACAATACCTGGAACATGTAGTTACGATCAGTTTGTACCACTTGGCCATCCAAAGGTAAATTATTATTTTTTAATTATACCTTTTACCATATTTTAAAATACACGCATAACTTTTATTGATAAACTCAAATAGATATTAGATTTTTGCAGAATCATTATCAAAAATATTTGTATTTTATTTTATTTTCTCTGCATTTGCTATCTATGCATTTAATAAAACATATTTGATAAGTAAAACGGAATAATTGCATATGTTACTATTTTGTTTAGGTAGGCACTAAGCTAGGAAATATCCAGATAACAACTGTAAACCTAGTACCAGGTGATTATGCCTGTGTTTCCTATAAGCAAAAGTGGTGGATAGGAGTCATTGAAGGTATTAATTTAGAAGAAAAAGATGTGCTTGTAAAATTTGTTTCCTAATGGTCTTACATGGATGTTTAAATGGCCACCAAAGGAAAGCCAATGCTGGATTCCTTATATCCACATTATTTGCAAAGTTGAGGTACCGATAACAAAAACAGGACTTTGCTACTATTTAGCCAAAGAGGACTTAAAATTATTTTCCTAAGAAAGTAGAGATTTTTATATTTATGAATCTATTATGTCTTATCCATTCTTTTTTTAAACATTATGTTTTGTGAACCAACTTATAAATAATGTGAATGTAAAGCATATATAAAATCACTAAAGTTTTATATGAAATATATATAAAATATAAAATATAATATATAAAATCACTAAAGTATTTTTTAAAAAAAAATTATATACGTTTAAATTTTGTTGTAAATATCATATGAAAATGAAAAAGATAATAAAGTCACTAAATTTTTAGTTTCTAATTTGATTGATTGGTAGAAGGTGGGGTTATATTGTCTAATTTAAAAAATATTAAAAAATTTTGTATCTATATCAAACATCAATAATTCCTCAAGTAAATATAAGGCCAAAACAAAATTGGTTCGAAAAGTAGGTGTTGATCTTATTTTTAAGAAAATCGAAATTAAATTTTTTTTATATCAGTCAGATTTTTTTTATAGCTATAATTGTCAATGCCCTTTTTTCTCGGGGTTATAAAGTGTATTTTATGGATCTTAAAATAAGCTACATTCCCTTGTTTTGGCATATAAAAAACTATATTTTTCGGATTTAACAGGTTTTAAACTCTTGGTACAAAGTTTCAGAATTGTGGCATCACTACAAGCACCATATTAAGGTGAAAGTAAACGGAATGATTTTCGGCACTTTTCCCCCCTCAGTTTTTAGTCAAAATAAAGGAAACTTCAAATTGCTGTAAATTATTAACGGTAAGGAATTTTATGAAAAAAAAATTACAATCTTTCCTAACATATGTCTATAAACATTTGTGCCAAGTTTCAAAAATTTTGGTAATATAGGGTGCAGATTTGTGTTTTTTGAGAAATTTTTACCCTATAACTTTCCATGACTCAAAGTATTATTTAATGAAATTCGAAATTTAATAATGAATATAAAATTAATTTAGAATAATAATAATAGTACAAAGTTCAGTACATTATGCCCTCTCATTTGGGTTTGGGGAAAAGGTTTTAGGGTTTTTGTTGTTCCAAGGCACTAATTGTAGCAATTTTTTTCAAATGCGTTCTCTATTGATATAAGTATTTCCAAATCCAAATTAGAAATTTTCTCTGGTATTCAGTGATAGTCGTTTTGATACTGAGTATGGTTAAGCAGAGGGTGGTTGAATAGATTAGTTGTTGACCAAGTAAAAGTTTTAGACATTAAAAGAGATTTAGGTTTAGCTCAGTAGATTGATGGGTTGATGTGATGCGAGGTAAGTCAGGTTGTAGTTTTTTAGCTTAAATTGTTATTTATATTGCATTAAATTGTTTTTATATAAAAAGGAAAATTAATAAATGATGATGGAATGTATAACTTTAGTATAAGTTTATGGTGTTGTAAAATCTTTTTTATTTTAGGAAATTCAAAATTTTGGGGATGAGGTTATGAATAAGATACAAAATGATTTAGCAGTTTACAAGAGTACACTTGATCAAATGGAGATTGTTACCGTTTGTGATATCAAGGATGTTATTGTTTCGATCATAAAAAAAAACTGCGAGTTAGCGGAAGTTAACTTAGATGTTCTTATGGAGAAAAGTAAACTCATGCTTATTAATAAACTTGAAAAAGCGATGATATAAATAATAACGTATAAAATGTTTTTTTCAGATTATTTTTCTTTCATGTTTCTTTCTTGTTATGATTTATAACATTCTGTTGATCCTCCTTTATAACGCGACACAATTTTTCGACTAACTATTCACTCTTGTATAATGTTTTCTTTAAGCTGGATTGTGTTAAATATGTGCGTCAGTTTAAGAGATTTTTTGTTCAATTAATTTAAGTTTACACACTTTTAGAGTTGTGTATCAACAACGCTGCCAAAATTTTATGAAACAAAATCTTCGTTAGTTTTATTGCTTCTTAAGCGATTTCTGAAATAAATTCTGTTTCCGATTACATATCTTTCTAAAAAAAAAAAAAAAAATCCAAACCAAGTTTATTTTGTGATTTATGTACATTACTTTTGACAACGTTGTCGGTACTTTGGGAATTTTCAAATTTTATATCAGTATATAAACGTTTCCGAACCTTTATTAACTTCTACAAATTTATTAATTTAAAAATGCTTAGCTAACAGTTACTTAACTTTAAACAAGTGAAAACATAAACGTACTGAATTTCGCTGCATACGGCAAGCCCTGCGGCATATATATTCAAAAGTTTGAAGCGTATTAATGGCATACATCGCTTATAGCATATATTTCTTTTAAAGAATATAATAGGCAAGTTACAGCACATGCGGTGTGCAAAATCTTTTGGCGTACACTGATAGCTATATGCTGAATTATGCTTAGACGCAAGTACATTCAAACCTGCGTTAATGTTTGAGTAAATAAAATAGTATAAAAGTCGTTATTATACTTACTTATATAAAATCTGACCACATAGATATTTTATTTAACCCTGTATTGCATGAATTAAGAAAAATATAAAAATAAATTTTTTTTTGCCTGAAATTATAATAATTTATCATGAAATTTTAAAAATTGAAAAAAAAAAAAATTTCCTTATATTAGTAGAGATTGGGGTTTGTTAATTTAAAGCAACATGCAAAAGAGAAAAAACAAATTTTAACATAATTTTTTTCTTTCCTATTACTTGTAAAAGTCTTTAAAACAAATGTACCTTGCATTTCTCACAATAAACTTTAATTTTGCCATCACACCCAGGGTTTTTACATCGCACTTTTTTTTCACTAAAGACAGGTCACTGATCAATGCTATCAATTCTAGTTGAAAATTAAGGAAGTAATGCAACAGGACCTTTTTTTCTCTTTGCAATAAGGAGATTTTCCACTGATTATGATAAACGACCTCTTTTATTTTCCCCCATAATTTTTCCGGCTTTCATCAAATCATTGGTTACTTTTAATTTGAATCAATAATATAATCTTAATTTTAATTTGAATCAATGAATAACTAGATGACTAACTGTCGTAAATCGGTATAAGAAAAAGTGAAGCAAAAATCGGCCATTATGGGGGTCTTTACGCTATTTATCAAAACAAAACAAATACGAAACTTAAAATTGTTTAAAAATGTAATCAATAAAAAATCGATACACAAATATCTGAAAAATTTGATGTTATTTTAATAAGCCCACCCCTATTTTTTACGTTAAACAATGAAAGAGCTGATGTTCCATAAGAATGTTCCATAAAATTGTTTTGGGATATAAGTGAGTTTGCACACACAGAACATGTTATCTTTGATAATAATTTTCTTACAATAAATCCAGATATATATCCTAGTATTGCTTCTTTATAGATAGAGGTATTATCAAGATAATTTTGAATTGTAACAATATCAAAGTTTAAAAAATCTGTTTCAGGATTTGAATAAATTGCAGATTTTTTACTCCACTTTAATGCAAAAATAGAGCCATTTGCAATATCCTCAAATGTTAAACAATTTGCATGCTTTGAGCCTACAATAGAATTGCGCAAAAAAATTCTTTTTAAAGATGACTTAAGTTGGATGACATCTGGGTTATTATTAAATCCATTCATTCCACGAATACAAGAGAACAATAACTCAAGATAATCTTGTGAAAATTTGTATGTTAGGCAAAATTTAAAAGGATGGACATTTAAAGTCAAAAGCTCAAAGGCTAAGTGTTGAAGGCTTTTTGCAGCAACAATTAACCCTAATACAAAAGTTTTTCTCCTATGTTTTAATAATAGAGTATCATTAGCATCTGTCAACTTTGATAAGTAGTTTATTACTTGATCAAAAGTTGAATTCCAATAGAGATAATCATTTAAAAAAAGAGCTTTGTTATATGATTTTGAAAAAATATTTTTGGAGTTCAGCATATCAAATAATTTGTCAATGACAATTATAAAATTTATAGTTCCTTCAGCATGCTTGAAATTTGGATGTTTGGAAAACATCAGAAATTCAATTGCATCTGCAACTGAACTACTAAGTGTTTGTGCAGCAAACTTAACATTTATTTTGTGACGGTGGAAATAAATATGTTTTATTGAGATTTTATTTTCAAATTTCAATCCTTTCTCTTCTTGTATTTCATATAAAGCTTTTTTATATCTCCATTTAATATATTTTCTATCACAATCCTTAAGTATCTCTAAATCACATAACGCATTTCTAGCTAATTTTAGCATACGACTTGGGTCAGGGATTACATACAAGTAGTGATTATAGCCTTCAAAAGTAAATCTTCCATTAATTTTTTCTAATCTTTTCCCAAATCTACATCCTAATGATTCAACAGAATTAAAGTTAAGATCTACACCATCAAATGTAATGTTAATGTAATTTAAATTAATTTTTTTATCAGAAGAAATTGTTAATGCTTTTTTAATAAGATATGAAAGGTTTTGAGCTGTTATTTTACTACACAGTATATAACCAATAGTTGTTTTCCAATGACCTCGTAATCCTACCAGCATAAAAACCAATGCTTCTGTAGCTGGTGTATCTGGTTCAATTGCAACAATATCTTTTCCGTAATCTGTTAAGCCAATGAATTGACCTGTCTTTTTATCATTTAGAACTGTTGTTTTGATTACCATTGCATCTATAATTAATGGACAATCTTTATAATTAATGTCAGTCTTTGCTTTTATACTAATATAACTTAAAACATCTTCAAAAAAACCAGGTTCACAATCTACAGAAGATGTCCAGTTGGCTAAAGAGCTTGAAGCAGGTAAACGAAGTATAGGTCGAAAAAATTGTATGCTTTAGGTGAGTAAAAATGCAGAGTTATTGCAAATTTTTTTATTTTATCAGTATACCTATGCCCTTTTGGAAGTGAAGTATTGTTTTTAAACTGATTTTTTATAATATCAAAAGTCAATTCACTAAAGTTTTCACAAAGAACATTAGCAACATCTTCAGAAACAATTTTTTTTTCTTAGCATAACTTTTAATGATTTTTTTTTTTCTTTTTGTCGCAACTTTTGTTTAAGAATTTTAATTTTTGCTTTTAATTTTGCTTTAGTTGGAATTGCATTTGTCGATAATGTATTTTTAGAAATAATGGTATCATCATTAATAATTTTGTTACTACTTTTGATAATATTAAAAGTACTATTACTCTCTCTGTTGTTTCTGAAATAACACTATTAATATAAATTTCGTTTCTATAAGCAGCAACATTATTGTTATCACTTATATCCGATTGGAAATCGATGTGATGGTGACTGCCTGTTTCTGAAACTTTTTTAACGAGTCTCTTTTTATTTGTTTGTGGCGATATAGAACTAAACTTTCTTTTGACTTTTGGTTTGGAATCAATAAAAATAGATGGCACAGCAAAAGCTTTTAATTTAGGTTTGTTATTAAAATCAGGTATATTGTAATCTGAAGGTAAAAAGTGATCACTACATATGCGGCTGTGCTCAGTAGGAATAAATGTTTCACGTCTATAGCAACAATCCACTTTTTACAGAGCTCTCTATTATTAATTGTAAATTTATGAAATGCTCTGTTGTCGTTTTTCATTGCTCTATTTGTGAAACCTGCTGTAGCACAAAAATTTACCATGATTTATAAATTATGAATATTTAGTATCGAATATTATTTGATCCAAACAACCGTGATTTACTATTTTTTAAATTTGCCCCCCATAATGACCGATTTTTGCTTCAAAAAATACGCGGAAGTTAGACATCTAGTTATTTTTAATATAGTATTCCTTATCATTGAATTTGAATACTCTTAGTTAAAAGATATCTTTCTTTAAAGCATTACATTTTTTCATATCGCGACAATAACGGATCCAAGCATGGACAATTATCAAATCTAAAAAATGCCAAATAAGTTAATGGTACTATTTCTTTGATCGTATTTGAATTCTATATTAGCTTAATAGACTACCTAATAAATCAACTCCTCCCATAAACTTGTGGTATATTGAGACAATAGAAGGTCGTGTTACATTTATTTTTTATTTAAACTTGCGATCCCATCGCTAAACAGTAGACACTCCCATCGCTAAACACTTAACCACTATACAAACCGCAGTTCAACGTTGTCAATATTTGTGGTAAGTAAAGTAGTTGATCCTCTCCCTTATTTTTTCATCCGTTGATAATTTTATATTTTTTAATCGGTTAGAACGTACAGTTCCAACACATGCAATTCCCTGTGTATACAATTATTAATGATTAATTTTAAACTGCTATACCAGTTATCAAAGTATAACTCATGCCATTTTTGCCTTAAGACATTTACAAAAAATTTCATCACAATATTTCTTGATGTTTTCAAATCAGGTTGCCCAGGACACACATCAATAGGGCCAGTATGAATTTCAAAATTGTGTACAAAAACAATTACAGATGAGTTTTACATGGTAAATATCAATAAATAAAATATTTTAAAAACAGACGGGGACTCAAAGAAGATATGGATGATGCAATCAATCTTTTCATAAAGCCCCTTAATATAATTAAATATTGATATTTAAAAGTATAAAAAGAGTAATAAAAATATAAAAGATATAAAAGTAACAAAAAAATAAAAAGTATGTAAAATAAACTAAAGATATAACAAGAAAAACTTATTTTAACAAATACAAAGATATTTTGCAATAACTATATTGCAATTTTAGGTATTCAAAGAAATAAATACAAACATA